TCTTCTCTTTTCTAGGCTGAACAGTCCCATATCTGTCAGCCTTTCCCCATATGGCTTGCTCTTCAGACCTCTAATCATACAAGTGGCTCTTCTATGGACTCTCTCAAGATTCCCCACATCCTTCTTGAAGTGTGGCACCCAGAACTGGATGCAGTACTCCAGCTGTGGCCTCACCAATGCCGAGTAGAGCAGGAGAATAACTTCCTTAGTTTTGCTTGAGATGCATCGGTTGATGCATGCCAGCATATTGTTTGCTCTGCTAACTGTAGCATCACACTGGTGGCTCATATTCATTTTATTGTCAATTATGACCCCCAAGTCCCTTTCAGACATGGTGCTAGCTAACGTAGCACCACCAAGCCTGTAGGTCTGTTGCAGATTTTTCCTCCTCTGATGGGGCACTTTACACTTCTCAGTGTTGAACAGCCCATCTGGTTCTGGTCCGCCCATCTAACTAATCTGTCTAGGTCTACCTGGATCACCAGCCTACCCTGATGCATGGCCACACTTCCCCAGAACTTAGTCTCATTGTCAAACTTTGCCAGTGTGCTTTCACCCCCACATCCAGATCATTGATGAAGATGTTGAAAAGTACTGGTGCAAGTACCAAACCCTGAGAGACCCCACTGGCTACCTTCTCCCAGGCTGACGCAGATCTGTCTATTAGTACTCTCTGGGTATGACCCCACAGCCAGTTTCCCACCCATCTGACCATTGAATTGTTGAGCCGATAGTCTCCTAGTTTTACCTTGAGAGCATCATGGGATACCAAGTCAAAGGCCTACCTAAAGTCCAAGTAAATTACATTGACCTCATCTCCCTTATCCAGGTGGTGAGTAACCTGGTCGTGGAAGATGAGGTTAGTCAGACATGACCTACTCACAACAAAACCGTGCTGGCTGTCGTTCAGAATTTTGCCTTCTACTAGCTTACTGCATATGGACTCCTTGAGAAATTTATCGAGGATTTTTCCTAGGATTAAGGGTCAGGCTGATCAGTCTGTAGTTTCCTGGGTCCTCTCTCCTGCCCTTCTTGAAGATGGGCACAACATTGGCCCTCTTCCAGTCTTCTGGGACCTCTCCTGAGTACGATGAATTCTCAAAGAGGTTTGCCAGCAGTCCTGCGATGACTTTATGATTGTCTGGTCCTTAAATCCTCTTAACATCACCTAAGCCTGCAGAGTCTAGCTATCTAAGTCAGTGGTTCATAATGTGCAATAGGTTATTTGGCATATACACAAACAAAATGGGAATTTATATATCTAAAATTAGATTTGAAATTCACATTAATAATCTGGGAATTTAGGTAACCATATTTGAAAGTGAGCCCTCTCCCTGCCAGCCTCAGGCACAGCTTGGCCCAATGATAACATTTAGACCAGGCCCAGGCACCAACAGACACAAACACTCAGTGTGAACCACAAGTTCATCCCCTGATTTCAGGGCATGAGCTGCATCAACAGGTCAATGAGTTCAGAGAGCACTGTGCCTGCCGCACAGCCAAAGCGAGGTGCAACCTAACCCCACACACCCATTCCTGGATCTGCCTCTTGACTGGAAAGACTGATGAACCTGTCCCTTTCACCTTTGCACACAAAGCTTTGTAGTCACTTTTGATTTGCTCAAGCTCACAGCTGGCAGAATCTTTAGTGCCCACATGGATAGGGTAGTAGTCAGGGACCAGATGAACCTTGACAACCTTTCCATAATATCTTGGATTCTGATGCCTAGAAGCAACAGAACTCTGGAGACAACAGGTCCGGTCGGCAGATGGATGCCTCTGTTCCAGAGGTGGACAAAATACAGCCTGCGAGCTGGATCCAGCCTGCCAAGGGATTCTATCCAGCCCCATGTCAGGTCCCCTCAGCCATGCCTGACCCAGGTACAAGAGGCAGCCCAGGCCATGGTGTGTGCAGCTGATCCTGCTGTTCCCCAGGCACCCAGTGGGACAGGGGCAGCTCAGTGGCTGGACTCAGCTTCCTGGTAGCGCCCATGGCAGCAGCTCACTCTGCCTAGCTGCCACTGCCAGTGTCTCCAGCACTCCTGCCAGCTCCATCCCTGCTGCCCAGGCACCCTGGCCCATCTCCCCCACACCCACAGTCAGGAGTACTGGGCAGAGCAGGTGGGGTCTATGGAAACTGACCTGGGACCCCCACGGGCAGAGTGCACATGGCCAGATGGGATGGGGCCACAGGAAGATGGGGAGTGGCATCCAGGACTGGGATGGGCAGGCGGGCCCAGGCCCTGGCCAGGATCACAGGGTGGTGACAGAACAGGGCTGGAGCCCAGGGCAGAGACATGATTCATTTCTTACACATCCCTACCCACGGATCTGGTGCCCATCACAGGGACATGCAGGGAGCAGATCACAGCTCTGCTGTGCCCAGGCCCCACAAAGCTGTCCCTGCCCTCCCATCCCACTCCCAGACGCCACTCCCTGCCTGTTCAATGCCCCATCTCATCTGCCCAGCTGAGTGCACCCTACTCATAGGGGTCCCAAGCCAGTCACCATGGAGATCCTGCCTACCCACTCTGTCTGGTGTCCCCAATAGCAGGTGTGGGACAAACAGGCCCAGGGTCAAATAAGATTAACTGCACACACACCCCGCACCCCCAGCAACAGCTCAAAGTGAATTTTGGAGGGCCAAAATTTGAGTCGCCCTCTAGCCCAAATAATTGCGCATCCCTGCTCTATCCCCTACAGAAGGGAATAGCCAGCTGCCACACCCCTCACATCCACTTGGGAGTGGTGGCTTTCCTTCTCCCAGCCTCTAGGGTGAGAGAGCCTCTAAGGTGCCAAGCCTTTGCATCTGTACTTCTCAATAATCACAGCTGGGAGATGGAGCACTGTCTGTTGCCAAAGGTGACCAACTGCTGGCTTCTGTAGTCCTGAGCATCCAGTTCTGCTTCTTCCTCTTTCCTTGCACTCTTCATTCGCTGAATCTCTTCCACAATCTTGGAGGTCTTCTTGTACTCTATATCAATGAAGTCCTTTTGTTCACAGATACAGCTCAGTCTAGTCACTTGCTTTTTCAGTGACTATCTTTTTCCTGAGAGAATACACCAACAAGCACCTCTCATACCACGTGTACTTCCCCCACTTGCTCACTAAAAAGAACATGAAGGCAACACTCCCTGCAAAGACCAGAACCTCAGAGGAAGAACTGGAGGTCAGAACCCCACCTGAACCAAGTCCACAGAGGAGCAGGCACAAACAGTAAGGGAAAGTAATGTCAATGGTGTCACTTGTTCTTTACATCACTAGGACTCTGGCTGACCAGATGTAGCCCAGCTCCCTATTAACGTGTATTAACGACTCAGCAACTCTTCATAGCTCACTGCCTCCATATAGCACTGTAAGATGAAAACAAGATCCAGCTCACAAAGCTCAAACCCTCACCCTAAAGCAATCAGGGTTTCTTTCTCTTCTCCCCAAAAGCAATTCCACTCAAACTCTCCTGCTAACCTGTGTGGCTGTTGGCTCTCAGTGTCACCAACTCCTTCTGTTGCTGGGATTCAACATGGTGCACAGCATATAATTTACTTTGTACATGCCTTGACTGGGTTTATGACCAATAAACCCTATAGTTGAACAGAGTTGCTCTTTCTGCAGTTACAAGGAGTCAAAGCAGTGACAACACTTGCTTCTGAAGCCATGCTTTGGGGCTAGGGATGTAAATATCAATTACAAAAATATCAATTTAACTAGTTGTAATTGCAACGGTTAAATTATTAATCTGTATGGCAACCCCTGGCCTGGCCCACTTGGGGACATCTTTTTCAATTTTTAATTTTCAGGATTGGGCCCCTTGCAGCCTGTGGCAGGTGGTCTCTGACTTCCACACTCCCCAGAGAGGGAGCTGAGCTGCTTTCTTTGTGGACAGAACAGCAGGTGGGAGAGAGCAGGGAGAAGAGGGGCTAGTAATTAATAGCTAGGCTCCGTGGACCTTGGTGCAGCCTCCCTGCTGTGAGCAGCCCAGGCCCCGTGGCAGGCAGGAAGGGCCTGCCTGGAGCCCAGGCTGTAGGGGTGTGCGAAATGGGCTGTATTCATTTCGGATTTGGCCCGAATCAGGGACAGTGATTTGATTAGTTGATTTGGATCACTGTCCCGATTCGATTTGACTGAACCTGAAGATTTGATGCTGATTTGGAGAATCAGAGATCTGGCCACAGACACAGCTTTAAATGTTTTTTCTACATACCTCGAGGTACTAGGCACAGCTTGTGAATGCTGCAATGCTGGGGTGGATAAAGCATCCCACAGGAGTGCAGGGGGTTCCCCGCGTGCTCGGCAGTGGACCTAGAAGTGGACCAAAAGTGCTTCTGATGCACGTCCGAGTCTGCTGCTGAGAGTGCTGGGGACCCGCCTGTGGGATGCTCTACCCACCCCAGCGTCTCAGCATTCACAAGCCGCCTGGTACCTTGAGGTATGTAGAAAAAAAACTTAAAGCTGTGTCTATGTCTGAATTGTTGAATCTCTCCAAATCGATTCATAGGGTTCCAATTTGATTTGGAGAGAATAAAGAGTCTCCTGATTCGATTCGAATTCAGAGATTCGGCTGCCGAATCAGGCCAAATCTCCGCTGAATCAAATCAGCAACCGAAGCTTCACACAGCCCTACCAGGCTGCTCGTGGCAGGTGGCAGGGAGGCTGCAAACATCAGCATCAAGGTCCACAGAGCCTACCTCTCCTCCTCCTCACTCCTCCCTCCCTCTTGCCTACCAGGCTGCCTTCTGGTTCCTGTGCGGCTTCCCTCCCACCCTTTCCCTGCCAGATTGCGCCCGTACTAAATGATAACCAGTAAGTTATAAAGTTATCGTTGGGCTTATCAGTTAAATGATTAATTGTTTAACCATTCACATCCTACCTGGGACACCCCCTACTTTAAAAATGACAGATACCTGTCACATACTAACTTCTATCAAAATCTCCCATCTCAGCGAGCAGCAGATAAATTATTTAGCTCCATTAAATTCATGCAGCTTCTGCGGCATTCTTACCTGAACAGTACGTCCTGCATTGATGTGCTCTTCATGTAATCTGTCCCATAGTTTGCATCGCTGATACTAAACAATAAACAAGAGAAAAATAAAATGGTCCGTAACATTTCCTTTACTGTAGGTTGGCTATGCAAAGAAAAGAAATTTCAACACTAAATAACCACTCTAAACTTCCAAAGTTTTTTTTCTATTTTAAAGGCATTATTGCTATAAGTGAACCACACTCATTCCTGGTACAAGACTAAATAAATGGAGCAACATGCAGGATCAATTTGGCCCAAAATATTTCCACTTAACCTAAAATAAGCAGAGGCTTACTATTACTACAAAGCAACAGATCAATTTAAGAAGCTCTGGAACTATGACACTAATGGATAACAGATAACGGATAGCAACAAAGGCAGGAAAGATATTGAAGATACTGTCCAATATGAGAAAATGAGCTACCAGATACTACTGTACTTATAAAGAGAATTGTTTTTCCTTCAAGAGACAGTTCCCCCATGTAATACTTTAAACACACACAGGACCTCATCGTGCAAAGAGAATCATATGATCCAACCCCTCAAGTGCATGAAGTCCCACTAAATTCAGGGGGGGCCCATCTGTGCAGCACTTTATATAGAATTTGGGCCATGGCAATTATGCAAATAAGAAAACCTTGGATTTAAAAAAGCATCACATTTAAAACTTTTCATCAAATTGAACAATCAATCCCAGTTACTGTTAGTTCATAAAAAGATACCAGAGATGATTGGATCCCAAAAGTAAATCTCTAACTAAAATGCTTTTTACCAGGACACAATACAAACTTCAGTATATGCTCTGAAACAATCAAGGAATACATTAAAACAAATAAGAGAAAACATTAGATTGCATATTAACATTGTCTTTAATCATTTAAGTGATGGCAAAAACACTTAGCAAAAGCATTAAGAAAATGACAGTTGCCCTTTTGCGTAAAATGTAATTATTTCAGTTTCTTACTACAGTTTCTTTTCTCAATCACCCCTTTATATATTTATTAACATGTTTTTAAATTGTGAAGACCAGCACTGCTTACAGAATTCCAAGACATGGCATACATTTACACTAAGTGCCATGCCATACACTAAGTTACATGCCACGCTTAGAAGCATCCTCAGAAGGGATGCTCCTAAGCATGCCCAGCCCACCTATTCCCTTGTAAACTCTAGAACAGTGGTTCTTCACCTTTTATGGAGGGGTACCCTGAATATAACTTTTGTGAACTGGAAGGCCCCCAGTTCAAGAACTAATTTATTATAGGGCTTACCTCCTTGCATAGAAGCCAGACCCTGGGGCCAGGGGAATGGGAAGGCAAGGACTGAGCCTAGGCCTGAACTTATCTGATGAATCAGTGATGATTTCCTTAAACCTTTTGGTACCCTTCAAAGGATCATGTGGCACCCTGGGTGTCCCGGCACCCTGCTTGAGAATTGCTGTGCTGCTCTAGAAATAAGATAGTAAGGCCGCTCCAAGAGCATCCCTAGTAGTTGCTCTCAAGCCTCGAGTCTCCTGGTGCTCAGAGGTGTCCCTGCTTGGGTGTATTGCTGCTGCAGTGTGAACAGATTCTGTGTTTCCTCTCCTACCTATAAGAAATTTGGAATTATTTTTCGTTTTCAGAGAATATGGTTCATTCGTGCTAGGATTTTGGGTAATACTAGGAAAAAAGAGTAGGTTAGAAGTCCACTGTATAAAATTAGAAAGCTTTTTTAAAAAACAAAAAACAAAAATGAATATTAGGAATACCTGCTTAACTTGTGCCAAAATATTAATGCCATCATATTTTAACAATGAGATAAGGAACTGAACCAAAATTCAAAATCATTTAGCTCCAACCATTTCAGAAACAATGACAAAGCTAATCTATACAGCATCTTCTGGAATAAACGAACAATCTCTTTTCAATTGACCATAAGAAAGTGATATAGGACCATCACTCCAACATGTATTAAACCATTAAAAAAGTTCCCCAATTTACAAGTTTGCCTGACTCACTCAGAAAGCATCTATTGTTCTTTATAATTTCTTTTTAAAGAATTTTTAAGGTACACTACTCTGCTCTGTTCAACCTAAGAGCTGATATAATGACATCATGATTTCTCAAATGCCAGTGATGCTCCCCAAAAATGCTTTGAAAAGACCCGGTGGCTAGTCTTCCCAGAGCCATGATGCCTCCTCACACCCTTTCCAGATTATCCTTCAAGCTCCTTCAAAATAGTCTTTACTCCTGGACTCCAAAACCATGTGTGGAGGATGTGACCATCATCCCTGTCACTAATAAACTCTGTTACTAATAACCCATTTTGTCCTTAATACTCTCATGCCTCTTATTTGTCCTGACCCATGCACTTCTAAAAATTCTACTTGGATAACCATATTCTGGATCTGCCTTCCAGGTGCACTCACCCTCCAAAGTAGTCACAAGCTATTCTGAAAATCCCCCAGATTCCTTCTGCAGCATGCAGTAGGCTACTTGTGCCCACATGTCAGTGCTACATGCAGACGCCAAGTGTTCCGTGACAGGTCTACTCAGTCCTTCAAGCATCCCACACTATGTAGCTCCTCCCTGATCTAAAAATTCTACCATAAAAGCCTAGCTCAGTATCTTACAAGAAATCTAAATCTGAATGAGAACTTGTATCTAATTGTCTATCCTGTGCCATCGCCACAAAAGCATCTTTCTCAACACATCTCTACTGTGGGTGCATCTTCACAGCACAGTGCAGTACTATACAGAGATACCCAAGCTAGGAGAGTAGGAGCTACCTTGGGTACTAGCACTAGAGCAGTAATGTTAGCTTGGAGCTCCATCAGGGTAAAGTAACCCTTCTTTTCATTCTAACTGGCCTACGTGCAGTCCTGCACTACCCTGCTTCCACCACCTAAGCTAGCTCCAGTATTTCTTCACAGCACCACACTGTGCCATGCAGACGTGTCACACTCAACTTTTCCCAGTGACATCACAAAAGCTTTGTTGGTGTTACTGAGACTGTAAGAAATATATAAGTTTTTAAAATTAAATACTGATAAAACTTGCATGTTGATGTAAAAGGGCATCATATGCAAACAATACCTTTTAGAAAACTTTAGTGTCCCAGAACCTCTCACATGAGTAAGAGAACTCAAAAGATTATCATAATCTTTGAGAAGTAAGGCTTTGAAAGTGCATTTATGGTAGACATTTATTCTAAAAGGTGGCCTCAAGTATACATTTCATTATACACTGATTTCATATGATCGTTAAACAAGTGATTAGGGTAGATTTAATTGTCTGGAACTCTTTCTTGAATCTAAAATTTAAATCAACATTCATGAAATGAAGTTAGAGATATTTGTTTCATCATATGTAAATAATGTTGCTACTCTAAGCAATTTGGCATAATAAGTGATTTTGCTTTAAATTAGTTGACAAAATAAATAAGACGAAATTCTACAAAATTATTATTTAACACCAATGCATATTAGATTTACATGCTTAAAAAGGTAATTCTATAAGAAGCATTTAACAGAAAACAGTTTAATTGCTAAGTGCTGACAGCTTACAAAAAACAGTTTGTGCTATAATTTTGACTAAAAAATTAATTTTCAAGATGTTATATATATAACATTTTAAAGATTAGAGAAATGTAACTGGATTTCTAATTTGGAGGTATCTGAACTATCAACTCATAAAGTATCTACTTATCTTCAGTAAAAAATCCAGAATATGTTTCAAAGCACAAAAAATCTTTTCATAAACAGAAGAGTCAATGCTTAAGCATATTAATGGGTTTGAACAGACATTATACAAACTATGTCAAGACTGTACAAAGGTTCAGGCCCCTCCCAACTAAAGCCCTTTCATAATGAGCAGCAGTTGACTCCAGAGCTAGACATTTCAGCATGCCACTTGACCGCAACCCCCAGGGGTTTCTGAAGACAGCCAAGTGGCAAAATGAAAAAAAAAGACAGCCAAGTGGGCAAAAGACAGCAAAAGTGGGCAAAAGACAGCAAAAAAAAAAGACAGCCAAGTGGGCAAAATGCGGCCTGCGGGCCAGATGTGGCCCGCCGGGCCATTCTATCTGGCCCACAGGGCCCCTAAAAAATGTATAGAATTAATATTTATCTGCCCCTGGCTATCTGTCACGCGGCCCTCGATGGCTTGCTAAAACTCAGTAAGCGGCCCTCTGCCCAAAATAATTGCCCACCCCTGGTTTAAGCCGTTTTAGGTTTGGTCAGTTCAACCTCAGGAGGGCCAGTTAAGTTTCACAGGCATTGTCTTCCCAGTAGGAACAGACCACGGACACCTGCCATCTCCTTACCTTTCACTTTCTAACAGCAGAGAATCTTGTACTTGGCCATGCTTGCCATACTGCTAGAGTATGTCTGCCAGCTGGAATGCCACAGCATAGCAACTCAAAGCTCCATGATTCTGGCACTTGAAAAGGTGCCTCCTCAAGCTGCACTACATGCCGTGTGTGTCCAAGAGCTACATGCCACAGAAGGAAGAAATAACAGACTTTACTGAGAAAAGTCTTCTCTGGGACCACCTTAGAACCCCCATGCCTCTTAATGGCCCAGGAGAAGTCTCCAAGAGTGGTCCCCATTGTCCGCCCCCACAAGAAAGAACATGGCATGCCCCACTTTAAATTCCCCTGAGGACAGATGAGCCAGATGGGATAGTTACTAACACTTTGCTTTGCTAGCACTAGGGAAGGGAAGGATATTTAGTGTTAGCTTGCTTTGCTAGTACTCCACAATCCTAATGGCCCTGGAGATGGTAGCACCCAATTGCAAGGTCCCTGCATGCGCCATGGACTGCCTACGACCACTCCTAGCCTCCCTTGGATTAATATAGGGGACCACATTCCGAAGGCTGTGCCCTACCAGGTAACAGGGACCTGGTACTTGACATTTATGAGTCCAGGGAAGGAGTAAGTGATGCTGCCATAACACCGGTGCCCTGGCCCTCACCCGTAAGGGTCATGAGGGGCTGTGGTTGAGTAGGAAGGTCACACTTCGTTGTTAGAAAGATAGCTTTTATTGAACAAGCAGTGCAATGG